TCACAAACACGGTCCAGAGAGTTACTGCACAGCCTAAATTATTAGTAATTTCACAGTAAGAGACCACAGTAGGAGGCTGGAGAGATGGCTCAGTGGTTAAGAGCACTGGTTGCTCTTGCAGAGGACCCAGGTTCGATTCCCAGCACCCACACGACGCCTAACAACCATCTGTAACTCCAATTCCAGAGGAATTCAATGCCCTTTTCTGACCTTCACAGGCATTCACAACACAGGTGCACTTCCAGGCATACAGGCAATATACACATACACATAAAATAAAAATAATAAATAAAATATTTTTTAAAAAAACCAAAAAATAAATAAATAAAATAAAATAAAATGCAGAGTACTGAACCTTGCACTGTCAGTGCAGAATCAGAGCTTCTGGGAGTCTAGTCCAGGCACCTGCAACTTAGTAAGCATCAAGCAACTCCTAAGTCTTGAAAACACTGCTGCTGTAGGTGGATCTGGTGGCTAAACCTCACATGTGCTTCTTTGCTGCCTACCATTTTCAGCCATCGACTGGGTTCAGATTGATGCCAATTCCTCAGTTCTTCACGATGAATTCATTGCTCACAGGCTTGGTGAGTATTGGGGTTGAAGGACAGAAGGGATCAGAGAAGAATGCTTTCCTGACCCCAGCCCCAGAGGAACTTATAGATTCTTGTGTTGGTTTGGCTGTTGGCCACTCTGTAAAATGCTTTTCTGTGTCTTGCAGGATTAATTCCTCTCACTAGTGATGACATTGTGGACAAGCTGCAATACTCCCGGGTATGTGTGTGCTAGGTGGCCTGGAGGGAGGGTGGTTAGTTCTAAACATCTTCCTTCTAGCTTGGACTGTATCATAGTTTAGAAAGCCAGTGTGGAGATGATGTCTCAAGACTGTAACAGGCCTTGGTCCTTGGTTCTGATGGGCTTTTGGATTGATTGGGCTCCCAGGGCATCTAGGCACCTAAGCAAGCCTCACAAAAGGCGACACCTACCAGAATGCCCATTTATTCTTAATGGCAGGCTGTTCCAGAGTGTCTCTTTACTGGGACATTGCCCTGGCTAAAAGGAATCAGAGGACAAAGAGCTGAGGGAGTAGAATCTGTTCTCACAAAAGCACCTGAGAGATTTCCCCCTCCCCCATTTTTCTCCCCTATAGAGGATGCTCCCTAGGCTTAGTCAGACTCTTACTGTGCCCCAGGGTTGGGATTGCTCTGGTACTTGTTTATAAAAGGTGGAAGAGGATGTTTACTTCATCCTTTCACTGGAGCTGGGTTATAGTAACAACTTGAGACTGCCTTCTTCATGGTTTGATATCTTATAAAGTTTCACTGTGTCCCTGACTATTTTTCCCCCTTTTCATGTTTTATTATATTTATTTCCTTTTTGGAGCTGGGATGAAGCTCAGGGCCTTGTGCATGCTAGGTAAATGCTTAACCACTGAGCCTGAGATTTATTTTTATTTTATGTGTATGAGTTTATTGCTTGCATGTAGGTAGATGTACCCGTGTTGTGCAATGCCCGAGTAGATCAGAAGCGGGTGTTGGATCCCCTGGAACTTGAGTTACAGATGGTTGTTAGCCACCATGTGGGTGCAGGGAATCAAACCTGGATCCTCCACAAGAGTAGCCAATGCTCTTAACCGCTGAGCCATCTCTCCAGCCCCCAAGATTGTTTTTTTGTTTGTTTTGTTTTAAGAAATAAAACATTAAAGATACTGGTGGAAATATTTATACAACCAGTTAAGAACAACTTGGATCTAAAGACCCCTGGGTCCCAGTCCCTATCCTTTGCCAAAAAAAGGAACAAAAACCAATTTAAGGCAGTTGAGATGGCTTAGCAGGCAAGAGTGCTTGCTTTCAAGTCTGACAGCCTGATTCTATCCCCAGATGCCACATGGTTGAAAGTTGGCCTCTGCACAAACACATAGACACATGCAATAAGTAAATAAATCATAAGTAAATAAATAAATGTAAAAAAAATTACAAAAACAGTTTGACTGTATCTTGCATAAAGATGTGTGCCATAGCAATTCCATTAAATTTTTTTCTACTTATCTATTAAATATAGTATAGCCTTTTTTAAAATTCTGAGAGTCTACAGAAAAGTTGAAAATAATAAATACCCATTTTGCTTTTCCTTTGTAGTTATCAAATGTTAATGTTTTGAGTGTACCGCCTGCATGTATTTTAAGTGCACTCATGGTATGCAGTGCCCATGGAGGTCAGAAGGCATCGGTTCCCCTGGAACTGGAGTTACAGAGGGATATTAAACCCTGGTCCTCTGCAAAAGCAGCCAGTGCTCTTAACCACTGAGCCATCTTTCCAGCCCCTAAGAAATGAGATTTAAAGCTGGACATGTTGATGCATGCCTGTAATCCCATCGCTTAGGAGGCTGAGACTGAAGGATCTTGAGTTTGAGGCTAGCCTGGACTACCTGTTGAGAGACACTGCCTCAAACAGTGGCAAATGTTGATAACTGAGGAAGCTGGGAGATGAGTACATGATGGGTGGCAGTATGTTATAGTCTGGTTTTGAAGTAAAGATTAGCTGGGCCTGGTAGGGCATGCATGCCTACAATACCAGCACTTGGGAAGTAGAGGCAAGAGGATCAGTTTAAGATTCATTATCAGCTACATAGCTAATTCCAGGCTAGCCTGGGCTACATGAGACCCTGTCTTTTTAAGAGAAAAGTTTAAGAACTTGAAAGGTTCTTCCCTGGCTTGTTAAATTTTCAGTGATTCTAAGCTGTTCTGCATAGCACATGGCAGGCAGAACTATAGACCGTTAATAGCCTGGGCCTGAGGCAGGGCCCTCCCAGGACAGTGCTGTATTAATAGTGTGTCCCCTGTGGTGTCCTGGGGATAGAAGGAAATATGTTATCAGCAGTGTGCAGGTTGTCCCTGAGCTTGAGCAGCTGGGGAGAATGATGTACTAGGTTGTTGCCACAAGCCAGAGACGTCTGGACTGTGGTCAGCCCCTTTTTACAGAGAAGTTGGAAGGAGCAGGGAGTCCAGTTGACTTATTTCTGCTGCTCTCCCTGCCTTAGGACTGTACATGTGAAGAGTTCTGTCCCGAGTGCTCTGTGGAGTTCACCCTTGACGTGAGGTGCAATGAAGACCAGACACGCCATGTTACCTCTCGGGACCTCATCTCCAACAGCCCCCGGGTCATTCCGGTTAGTGACTTTCCTCTTCTCTCCCTGGCCCCAAGTGGGCCAGATTGGAGTGGATCCTTATGAGACATTGACCTGCCCTGTGACCATCTATCTTAACCTGCTGCCTAAAAGTGCTGATCCTGGGTTCTTGGACAGAGCAGCATTGTGCTGTGTGCCTTTTGCTGTCTAAAGGCTGCGAGGCTGTTTTGACTGAGAAGGCTCTCACATAGCAGCATGTAGTGGGGGTGAGGTCCTTGTAGGTACCTCTGCCACCCACTTCTCAGGCCTTCTTTCCCTGTTGAGACAGATTACAGGCTAGATGACTGAGAAATGAGGTTAAAAATGTTTGTTTTGACTCCCTACAGGTGACATCTCGGAACCGAGATAATGACCCCAATGACTATGTGGAGCAGGACGGTAAGGAGACGGAAATGTGTGGCATCTTCCTACCCTGTCACTGTGTGGGCCAGAGGGTACAGAGACCAGACTCACCCTCTTGGACCGTCTGGTGTCTGTGTCACTTGACTGTAGACTTCTTGCCAGATGTGGATGGTCTTCCAGTAGTACTGCAGGTCAGAAGTTGGAGAACTGGCCTCTACTGGCCCATGGCTGACTCACAACTCTTCCTGCAGACATCCTTATTGTCAAACTGAGGAAGGGCCAGGAGCTGAGACTTCGAGCCTATGCCAAGAAGGGCTTTGGCAAGGAACATGCCAAGTGGAACCCTACTGCAGGGGTGGCTTTTGAGTACGACCCAGACAATGCTCTGAGGCACACTGTATATCCCAAGCCTGAGGAATGGTATGTTTAGGTGGGGAGGGTGGACTGGCAAGGGCTGCAAGTAAGAGAGATGGGGTGGGTAGGTCTTCTGTTAGCCTCTCTGAAAACAGGAGTAGCCACCTATGTTGACCTGTGCTTGCCTTCAGGCCAAAGAGTGAATACTCTGAGCTGGATGAGGATGAGTCACAGGCTCCTTATGACCCCAATGGCAAGCCAGAGAGGTAAGACCCTGGGCCTGCTTGGGACCATAAGTGTAAAAATATAGTGTTTGGGAGGATGGTTAATCACCCTCTCAGCATGCCAGGAGAGGTAACTGCCAGATTCTTGTATACATCCTCGGCTGGTCATCACCTTGTGGTCGCTGTGGAGGGAAGGGCCTTCCGGTGCTCCATGCTGTTCTGCCCGTTTGGCCTCAAACCAGAGCAGAAACTGACCACAGTTCTACCTTGAAGAGCTACAGCAGCATCACTGCCTGTTTGGTTTTTTCACACTGTCCCCAGAACTGCAAAGTGAATCTGGACCACTCTATATAAGATGTTTTAGATGAAGGCAAGTGAGCCCCATCCTAAGATCAGGTTCCTTATGAGAATGAAGTCAAGTCTCACAGGACAGACAGGAAGTCAGGCTGAATCTCCAAAAGCCAGCCTGCCTTTCGAGGGTTCTCACCCCACTCTTGTCTCTTAGGTTTTACTACAATGTGGAGTCCTGTGGTTCACTGCGCCCTGAAACCATCGTCCTCTCAGCCCTCTCTGGGTTGAAGAAGAAGCTGAGTGACTTACAGACTCAGTTAAGCCATGAGATCCAGAGCGACGTGCTCACCATAAACTAGCTGCACTAGCCTGTGTGGCAGACAAAGGGTTCAGGCAACCGCTGGGTTTCAGGTCTCCAGCCCTTCTGGTCTCTGGATTGCATTTGTTCAAGCTGCCGAGCAGGTCATCAGAGAGATTACTGGGGCTCTCCTGCCTGCTGATCTGTACGTAGTACACCCCAGAACTCCAGACATTGCTCCCGTCCTGTTTCACCAGTAGGGGACTGTACAGCATCCTGTTGAGAGCCATTGAGCTAGGCTTCTCTGGTTAGTCCAGCTTTTGAAACCCTTTCTACCAAAGAGAAGGAATTTTCACACCTCTACCTTAGACTCCAGTGTTAGAATTGAGTGCTAGAACCTTTACAATGCAGCCTGTAACCTGTTCAGTCTGCTGCCCGGGGCCATCTGCTGGCATTTGACATTTCAGATGTCCCTAACCTGAGATGTAACCCTTTGGGAATAGCAGTAGACTGTGGCTGTCCTCTCTGCCCACACGTGAACTTGAACTTGCTGTTTTATCCTCTGACCTGACCATCTGGTAGGGGGGCAAAGGCCCCACCCATATTTTATTTCTCTGCAGTGAAGAAGGTTCAGGCCTGCTCCTCAGCACAGTCTCCAGGTAGAGCATGCCCAGCCATAGCAGTTCTCGGGTGTCTGGAGACGAGCAAACATCAGCATGGAAAGGGGTATTTATTGACCAACAGTAGTTGTCTTTTTTAAAGTTTTTATTTTTGGCAATAAAGAGCACAACATAATCTCCTTCATGCGTCATCGTGCCACTAGCTGAGCCAGCCAGCTCTGCCTCCCTCCCAAGGCTTCTGGGCCCATTTTCTCTGCGCACTAGCTTATCGCTCTGGGTGGTCATTCCCTGGGTCAGAGCTAGGCTGGCTGTGCCACCTCCCTGGCTCTAGGGCCCCTCTGGGAGGGGGCCTCTATCATCATCCTGCCACAAACGTGAGTACTAGTTATTTACAAGGTCTGTTCCCACAAATCAGAACCCTAAAGTATTAAAAAACAAAAACACGCAACGAAAAGTTTGATATGAATAGAAAGATAGCCCTTCTGCACGGCAGTCAATAAATACCAGCACTAAAAAATCAATTGCTTTAATTGCATTTCAGCAGGGAGCCTCAGCACCTTGTGGGGAGATGGAAAGGTCTTGGTTTTGGAATCTGGCACAGGGTGGCCAAGCCCAGGGTAAGGGGCTGCTCCTGCTGGGGCACTATCCCTGGTCAGTGAGAGGGGGCAGCAGGGGTGCTCCCCACAGCAGTCCTGCTGCAGCCTTCCCGCCTGGCCCCAGCCTCCTCTGCCACTGAGGTAATGGGCACCCCACCCCGAGGGCATATTCTCAGCCTACTGAGCAGGAAGGAGCCAGTACAGAAATTGCCTTTCAAAACTAGGTGCTACTTTGTGAAACTCCCACATGGTGCAGTGGAAGTTTGGGTCCTTCCTGTGTCACTGTTGGCCCAGAGGACTGAGCAGCCTCCTGCTGTCTTGTCTTGCTGAGGAAGAGCCGGCAGGCAGCACAATCAAGTTCTGATTGTCCCCCCACCCCTGACCCTGGCAGCAGGAGGGCTGTACCACTGAGGACAGAAGTGGCTGCCCTCACACTCAAAAACAGCCTTGACCATGGCCTGGTCATGGGATTAAAAATGTGTATGTGTGGGTGGGGAGGGATAGAGGGGAAACCTCATTAATACAGAATATATCATAAGCCATATATATTAAAACCATTAACAGCATATAGTCCCACGGTAGCTCTAGCCCCTCATGCTCAGGTGGTGTGGCCAGCCCTGTGCTGAGGTCCAGCCTCACCTTTGGGGGCAAGGAGGGGCAGACGGTGCTCTCCTCAGGCCCTTGGCCCACAGCTCCTTGAGGCTGTCCATGGACTCCTATAGTCAGCCCTGCAAGTGGCCCAACAGTCATTAGTACCCACCAGCCCTGCTGTCACTGGGAAGGGGTCTTGGCCTCGCTGTTGTCCCCCTGGCTGGGCTTTGGCTTAAGCAGGATGAATCTGTTGAGGAGGTCCGTTTCTGAGCTGGCCTGGGCTGCCCCATATCCCTCACCTGTGGGCAGAGAAGCAGACTCAGAACTTGAATCCAGTGCCAACGACCTCTTGCCTAGCAGGCCTCCAGGGGGATGGGACACAGTCATCACTTACCATAGCTGGAAGCTTCAGCAATGTTCTGAGAACCTGTAATATGGTGCCAGTAGGCACTGCGGGGCAGCATGGTGGTGGGTGTACAGGGATACGAGTAGTGTTCCATGCCCTTGTTCAGCAGCTGTGACATAGAGAAGGGGTCCCTCCCATTAGATCTGGGGACTGTGCAGCCAGTCCAAGGCCCTGCCTGTGTCCCCTGTGAACATACTTGTGGAGACATAGCTCATGGACCCTGCGCTGGCCTGCCTGCCTGCCCTGCCTCCCAGTACCCTGGAGCAACTGCCATTGCCTCACCCTCACATTCTTCTCCATTTCCATCAGGACCCTCTTGTGCTGCTCAGCGATGGCCAGGGTGGCACTGTGGACCCGTTGGTAAATCTGCTCCCCCTCCTGTGTCTGAAAGGTGTAGAGTCCTTCCCCAGCGTCACACATCCTAAGGACACAGGTGGTGAGGAGGGCAGGGTGCTGGAGACTCTACACGTGGGGGTGGAGGTGAGGCTCTTCTAAATTCCGGCAGTGACTGTACCCAGGCCCTCAGGACAGGGTGGCCGTGTCTGAGGACTTGGCCATACTTACACATGGGCTGAGCAGAGGCCACATGCCCAGCTCAGCTTTCTCTGCCACCCTCAGGCCTGTGCATTATGAATAATTTCCTCATGTTTCTCAAACATTTTTAACAAATGAAGAAACTGAGGTGTCCAGAAGTGGAGTAACTCAGCCAAGGTCATAGGCCAGCTAGGCCCAGTGAAGGCCTTTACCAGTTATGCCATCACCGGCCTGATGCTAGATGCTTTTCTTATTCCTATGGGAAACCAAGACTCAGTTATAGAGCTAGAAAGTGCCAGTGCCAGCAGTGACAGACAGCCCAGGCCGCTAGCCTTTGGTATACAACACAGCTTCTCTGCTTCTCTTCATCTGCCTGTTGTGAGCAAATTACTTCCCTGGGCCTGAGCCCCTCATCTACAAAATGGGAGCATTCCATTCTCTGGGCTGCTCTGCTGGAGAATGAGTGGTGCTCCTGGCATGTGTCTGATGGAGTACAGAGAGCAGTCTTCATCATAACCACTGCGGGACAGGGTGGGAGGCAAGAGGGTACTACCTGCCCGCCTCGAAAGTAAAGCGCGTAGCATCACGCCCATAGCGACGCAAGGAGCAGAGGGGCCACGAGACGAGCTTCACGCGGGGGTTGTGTATGTCCCAGAGGTAGATGTTCTCGTGGGTGATCTGCAGCTTGCACTCGCCATACACATCCAGGTTGGGGCAGGGTAGCAGGAAGACATTGAAGCGATCTGCAGTAGCAGAGGGTGAGGGTACTCAGGGTGGGGCTGCTTGAGGGCTCCCATCCTGACCCCTCCCTCTCTCATCTCCCCACCTTCAGACCCAGCTCTAGGCCTCACCTGTCTGCTCGCACTGTACCCCTGGGGCCAGGAGGTCTGGCTCTCCCAGACTGATGTCATTGAGCCGAGACCCCAGACACTCCACAGACAGTGTCTTGTACCACTCTTCCGCCTCCAGCTCTAGAGAAAAATGGTACTTCATAGTGCTGTCAGCTCAGAGTCCCCAGCAGCCCACTCGGGCTGCCTTGGCCTGAGTCATCACACTCTGCAAGGCAGGGAGGGCAAGGCCTTGCTGCCTTCCTGTCCACCTCAGTCTGGGGGTCTGAGGGCCCATCCTTCCTTCCAGGGTTGGCCCTGCTCTGCCACCCTCTGGCTCCACCACTGACTGTAGTCAGCCCAGGGAGACATGGAACCTGCCGCCCTGGGGGGGCCTCACCTGAGTCACAGGTGAAGGTACGTGCTGAGTCATCAGTGAATATGATGGCTACGGCCTGCCGCTTGGTCTCCTTGGGGAGCCGTGTGACACACTTGACGTTGCTGATCTCAGTCACCTAGGAGGACATTCACAAGAGACTTAGCCAGGCTGGGGCACTTCTCTCTGCCTCCCACAGCAGTGTCCCCCAGGAGGGTACTCTCAGACCTTGGGACTCAGAAAGTCATCTTTGCTTACAGGTAGGGGGAGCTAGGGCCCAAGCCCCTAACCTTAGGGCAGCCTCGGAGGCACACCGACTTTTCATCAGGATACTTCTCCAGCCGCTGGGGCCCCTTGCTGGAGGACTTCCGGAACACCAGCCAGCACCTCCGGTAGATCTGTGGAGCAAGTAGCACAGGATGAGACTTGTGAACCACTATGACCCCAATGATGTACTGCAGTTACCCTTGCCTCCTGTAGGGAGCAGCACCACACCCTTCCCTGGAGCCCAGAGCCTGGTGAAAAACCCAAGGATGGTAGTTGCAGCTAACAGAGGGGCAGCTCCTCCCCACACAGCAAAGGCTGTTGAATGGGGGGCTCCATGTGCTGAACATGGCTCCATGTGACGGAAGGAACAGCATTTTCAGAGTGCTTCCTAACCGTATGTTTGATATTGGCACTCTTCATAGTGTCAGAGTACCTTTTCTATTAACCCCATTTCAGAGAGGGAAAGTGAGCCACGAGGAAGGTAAGTAGGAGCTAATGAGCAGTGGGGCTGGTATTAAGATAGGCTCTCTGGATCCAGAGATAACACCCATAACCACAACACAGACCAGCCACTTTGACTACCACATGGGGGTCTCCCAGGGCCAGGGAGTGGTCAGCCTGTACATCACCACAGCCCTGTTCTCTGGCCCAGGTAAGGCTGTGGTGTGAGGAACTTCACTCTTGCCCAATACTCCCAGAACTTTCTTTCACCCACTCTCATCACTTTCCAACAGTGTACTGTAGGGGTCCCCATGAGAACCTGAGGTCCGTGAAGGTAAGGGGGTAGACCTAAGAACCAGAGGTGCCCCCACGGCACAGTACCTTCCCCAGGTGGTCTCTTCCTGTCCCAACCACTACCAATGCCCTATCCCAGAGATTCTCAGGAGCATCACGAACTCCTGGGCCTATCAGACACCATAAAGGGTGGTTCTAGCACCTCCATAAGCTACCCACCTATCCCCTTTTTCCAGGATGCCTCCTTCTGCAGACCCTCTTCAGCCAGTTTGTGATAGGTTTACCAGTAGACTCCAAACCTGGCAGGCCTGTTCCCCAGGCATCCCCATGCCACTGTCACTGTAAATAGGAAGGACCTAAGGGGCCCACATTGAGCAGAGGAGGGGAGGGGGCTACTGGGTCACAGTTCCAAGGCCTGGCTGCCAGCCAAGTCACCTCCCCTGTCCGCTCTGTGGGTATACCAGGTCCTTGGCAAGTAGAAAGAACTCCGCTTAGTAAATGCCCAGAGCCAGGCCACTTCGGGCTCCTGTCTGGGACACTAAAAGGTGTATCTGCTTCCTGCTCCCCTGTCCCTGGTCTGTCCACCTGAGCCCTCAGTTGCTAAGCCCCTTTAAGCAGAGCTGTGCATACTGTACTCACTCCTCACTTGCACCTTACTAGTGTCTTAGACAGCTCTGCGGGGCAAACGGAACAGCCATATGAAGGGACAGGGTGGATGGATATATGAATGGGTGGGAGCTGCCAGAGGGGCCCCAGGCAGACAGCAGCATGGGGGGCAGAAACCTGGGGGCCTGAACACCCCAGTTGCCTGGTTACAGGATACACAGCCCCAGGGAGCCATGCACTCAAGAGCCCTCCTTCTCACTTCTTAAAGGTCTTTGATCAGAAGCATTCTGACAGGCTAAGCACTGTTGGGGGAAGGAGGCCGTCAGACTCAGTCCATTTTCTGTTCCCTTCAGCAGCCCCCCAAACCACTGCATCTGGGGACAGACGAGCCCAGCCTGGAGGCAACCTCAAACTGCAGCCCCTCACACCATGGCAGGTGAGGCTCAGGTCTAGGGACAGCAGCAGAATTCCCTGGACAGGAGTGCACAGACGATCTGGCCCAGACCACACCTCACCTGCCAGTCCTTCCCCCCTGGTTTACCCACCTGTCCACTTGGAGGTCTCAGGGCTTCTCCTGAAACACACTTGACATTAAGCCCACATGGCTATCCTGTGGTCAGCACTTTCCTAGTAAGCTCTGCCCTAGACACAGCCTTAGCCCCACTGGCCCCTAGAGGCTTGCTGGATCCAGGCATGGGAACAAGGAATGATGTTAGGAGAGGTCCCCATCCTCCCGCCTGGCCTCAGCCTCGCTCTTTGTTCTGTCTCAGGAAGAACAAGGTCTCTATCAGGCTTAGACCAGTGAGACTCCAAACATACCCATCAGCAGCTCTGCTTCAGTCCACTGATGGCCCAGCTGATGGCAGTGGGGCTGCTGGCCTGGACACAAGGCACCCCCAGAAAGGCCTCAAGAGGGCAGAAGAAGCAAGAACCACTGCTGTCCAGGTGGCCTGGGGAAGCTGGGTGATTCCTGGGCAACCCCTCCTTACCCTCTGGCTAGCCTAGGAAGCCCTAAGTAGCAGCTGACACCCTCCCCCACTCTCCATCAAGGTAGCAGGGAGGGTCAGGAATCCCGGGTAAAACAGACTTGGGTCACCTGTCTCTACGGCTTTTTTTTTTCCTCCTGGGAAGAGCCCCTCACTGGACAGAGGCATCCACAGGGGAATACAGGCTTCCAAAGGGGTCTTGGGGACCCTACTCCTGTTTCTCAGGGATTCGCCCCAGCTGGGGGCCTGTATAGGATGAGAAGGGGTTCATGCCTCTTCAAACCCCAGCTCAGAGCCAAGCAAGCACACCGCTGCTGTCAACAACTCTAAGGAAAGCAGTCTGCCCCAGAGCAATGGGGCCATTCTGCCCTGTGTTCTCATCCACAGACCAGGGGAGTATGAGGTTCTCCAGTCTCTGGCCCCTGGGACCCCCTACCCCTACCCCCAACAAGCCACTCTCCTTTCCAAACCTTCTTTAGCACCCAAAACAACCAACAAAAATATGAATCCAGGCTCAGAATACAGTGAGAAGGGAAGCTGGGGGTTGGGGAGGGGGGACTTTAAAGAAAAGAGGCCAAGAGAGGTGGGGAGCAAGGAGAGGTGGGGAGGAAGAAAAGGAGGGGAGCAAAGGGTGGCAGGGAGGGAGAGGAGGCAGTGGAGAAGCTGCTCTCTGCTCAGACAGCCGGGCTCTCCGGTCACTCCCGATACCACTGTAGCCACAACTTCAACAATAGCAGGGGTGCCACCGCCAGCCTGTCGGCAACCACTACGGGCCCAGTGGCTGGGATGCCAGCCAGTCCAGCTGGGGCAAGGAATGTAGAAGGCAAGGGCCGGGCACATGCCAGACAGCCTATGTCCAGAAGCCTCGAACCACAAACACACGGTGCCCAGTGCCTGCGGGCAGCATGCCCCCCCACACACCATGCCTCCAGACCAGTCCTCAGTGCTGTTCTTTGGCAGGAGCCCCTGCCAGGGTGGCTCACCCCGAGCTTCCTGCTCTTCATCTTCACATAGCCTTGCTTGACGATGTCGTTGAAATTGGTCGCCATGGTTGCCCCACTGTCTTTAGGGTGCCAGGCTGGGCCGAGGCCGGGAGGGGTTCCCAGGTGGCTTGCCCAGGTGGCCTGATCTCTCTGATCACCTGTTCAAGATGCTCCTCACCTCACCCGCCTGAGCATTGTTCTAGCAGCTCCTTTGCCCGGCGCCTGCTGGAAATGACAGGGAAATTAGAACCAGTGACATCTTTCTCTTCCCCTCGCTGTCTCGCTCTTTTTTTCCTTCCTCTTCCCACACTCCTCCCTCCCTCTGCCTGCCCGCCCTTCCTTCTTCCCTTCCTCCCCACCCCAGGACGGCAGAACCATTCAGGAAAAGCGAGGTGGAGGCTGAGCAAATGGTCCAGCCCAGTCCCCTCCCTCACGGCTGGGGCTGGCAGTTAACCCTTTCCTGGGAGGGTTGGCTCCTGTTCTGTTCACTGTGGAGGTGGTGGCGAAGGATGGGAGGTGTCCCATCCTTCAGCCTGGAGGCACTTGGCCCTCTGTCCTTTTACAACTATGGGTCAGACTTATAGAGCAACTTGCCAGAGCACCCCCGCCCCTGAGCACTGGGGTCCCAGCAGAGTTTCCAGGAGATGGAGAGGGGTCCCTGGCTCAGGATCCCAGGTTAAAGATAATTCACCCTGTTGGACTCACAGACCTCAAGCCCTCTGCCCACCACGATAAACCTGGTTCTCTCCAGCCTTGAAGGAGAGGCTGGGAGTCACCAGCTCAGACCACTCAGACTCTACTCCTGGCTCCTGGACTCTTGGGCAGTTCCTCTGAGTGCTGCTGCTTCCTGGGTAGGAGTGCAGAGTCCAGGGGGTGGGGCCCCAGGTAAGTCTGAGGAATGTGCAGGACTGCAGGTCGTGGCCACTATGGAAACAGACACTTGCCCTGGCCCTGGAGCTGGGAGGACTGGGCCAGTCTGAGGGCAAGGACAGGACCCCAACAGGCTACGTGGTCTGGCCAGGCCATGCAATGTCATAGCTCAGGAGATGCAGGAAGCAGTACAGCCACCCAGGAAAGCTCGGTGTAGAGTAGGAAATGGGGTATCAGAGGGAAACTTGGAATCAGTTAACACAGACCCAGGCAGTCTCAGCAGGGGCCCAATCTAACACCCATGTTTTAAAGATAGGAAAAGAAAATTGGCAGAGAGGGTAAGCCACCTGACTGCTCACACAGTGAGCCCAGGGCATAGCCAAGGAGGAATGGCACACTCTGGAGTAGGTGATGGAAACCAGCCTGGGAATGGACAGTTGTCCTGCAGCTCCCTTGGCTGCGTACCATCACCTAAACATTCTCAACCATGGAGCCCTGGGGTCAGGGCTGTGCCAGCAATATGGCTCCCCATGTCTCCAGAGTCACTGGGTTGGGAATGCAGTAGCATTTCTGGGGTCAGCTGGATGTCTGTGCTGCCAGGACGGGGCCCTGAGGCAACCATGTGTCTGGATCTGCCAGGAGCTTGGCATTAATTAATCTCCCAGAGGCCTGTCTATTGAGTCCCTAACAAGGAACAGATGGGACAACCCCATTGAGCACATGCAAACAAGAGGTGGGGCAGAGGGGTTACCCCTCCTCAGCCCTTTACTCCCTCAGTTCCCAGGTCTAAGATGCTGCCATAGCCAAGTGCTCTGTCTCCCTCCTAGGGAGATCTAGTGCCCACCAGCCCTGCCCCACCTGTGCTCTGGCAGTCAGAAAGGGGCCAATTTTCCAAGCTCTGTCTACATCACCTGTCTCTGGGGTTGTCTTGTCCCTAGAGCAAGTACCAGGTCCATGGAGGTCCCCTCTAAGATGACTAGCAGCCTGGCCCCTGGCTATAGGTTCACAGTATGGAAGGCCAGTTTCCCAACCTGCCTACAAGAAGCCACCAAGCCCTGGGTTCATCCAAGGTAGCCCAGCCAAGAGTGTGAATCTAGTAGGCTGTGTAGTACTAGGCAAGCTACTTCTTGTCCCTGAACTAGGAAGGAAAGGAGGAAGGGAGGGAGGGAGGGAGGGAGGAAGGAAGGAAGGAAGGAAGGAAGGAAGGAAGGAAGGAAGGAAGGAAGGGAAGGAAGGAAGGAAGGAAGGAAGGAAAGGAAGGAAGGAAAGGAAGAATGGAAGCCGGGCTGGATGCAGTGACACTCCAGAGACAGAACACAGGAGGATCACAAGTTCAAAATCAGTCTACCTACTTTAAAGGAGGAATGAAGCCAGAAGCTACCTACCTGCATGCCCTAGACCCTCCTGCCCAGTCCGGGCCATGAAACCACCACAGGCCAGCCTCCACATGCCCAGTGCAGGCCACTTCTTGCTGGCTCCATAAACCATCTCCCCTGTGCAATGCCTGAGGGATGGGCTGGAAGGGCCACCAAGGTCTCAGACCCTCCTCCTGCTATCTGTCCAGAGACCCAGACCCAGGCCTAGAATCAGCCCCACTGAAACAAACCACTGGAAAAGAAACTTTTGTGGGGGAGCCTGGAAGCCTATTCTGGCCTCACTCAGCCCCTAATGAGGTTGCAAGAGCAAGTCCCAACCTGGGGTCCAAAATGGTATGCAAAGAGAGTTGGAAAGGTCAGGACAGAGAAGGAAGGGCAAGAGAAAGATCCATGGATTTGAGAGGCAACAGAGACCCCTGACATCCAACCCACCCCTGAAAGGGAGTACACTGTGTTAAACACATCTCCAAGCTGCCCCTATGAAGGCACACTAGGCAAGAATCAGGGGCACCTGCCCTGCCCTTGGGCCACCACCAGCTTCTCACAGGCCTGCAGAGGGACAGAAGTTCCCAAATATGAAAGGACCTGACATGCAGCCTCCCCAGCTTTGGGCCTGAGGCCCTTAGTGTGGCATACCCAAGACAGATTAAGCTGAGTGTTCAGCAGCCATTCTTCTGAGTCTAGGGGTAAGGACCCCCACTTCTCCTCCAGCCTAGCATCAATGTGGCTGACTGTTCCCTGAGGGGCACCACCACAGGGCCTTCATGGAGAGCCAGGCTGCACACTATTCTGATGCTCTCCCAGGGAAGGGTAGTATCCTGTGGGGAGGGTGCGGGGGGGACTCCTGGGGCCCTCCCTGCCCACCTACCCAATGGGCAACACTTGAGTGCTCCCTCCCCACATTCCGTCTGGAGATTTGGCCACTTGCCACTCGCAAAGACTGGCAGCCAATGACAAAGCCAGATTACTGCCTGCCTGGAGAGGCTGCCCCACCCCTGACAGATCGGATTTTATCAAGGCTGCAGAGATAGCCCTACCTGGACCCTATCCCACGGCAGAGATCCTATGGCAGGCAGGTGGGTTCTCTCCAGCACCCTAGGCATCCCACCACCTGCCCCTCTCCTCCTGTGGTTTCCATCAGGAGCCAGCAGGCTGCGCCCTCAAAGACCCCCATACCCCTGGAGGTTCTCTCCAAGGAGAATGGCGAAGATAGACTAAATGCCTAACGCGGCAGAAAAACAACAAAGGGAGAGGACATCTGAACACCCATGAAAGTGTTTCTATGCCCCACACCACTGCCTTCTGTTTTTTCCTGGTGCCCTGCCACCCTTCAACATGTAAATGCCTTCCCATACAAGCCAATGCACATGCTGTTCCTTGCCTCTAACACTGTTCCCTCCCATGATCTCAAAGTGTATTCCACTGCTCCATTCAAATCTCCCCACAAAGACCACCTCCTCTGAGAGGCCCTCCCTGACTACCTTGGTCTTGTTAGTTACCTGTCTCACAACATCCAGTGTTACTGTCACTTGACCATGGAGACACATCTACAGTCACAGTTCCTTGATGGCCATATCTCTTATATCTAGCTATAGCTCCAGCTCAATGACCAGGATTTTGATAAAAGGGTAGAAATGGTGCCCAACATCTAGAGAGGAACACTAATTCTGTGGAGGATGGTCCTCAACCCTTCTCTATCATCAATATTCAGCTGGCTACCAGTTCTACTTCTGGAGTGTGAGCTGCAGTGGGCTCCCACTTCTCTGTCTCTGTGCTGACCAGTGGGACCAGCAGAGTCCAGGAAACCAGGAGAACCAGATGCGTCCATGACCCACAGTTTGGTTCAAAACTGCCTCAGGGGATCTGTGCTGCTGACACTGTCTGAGCCTGGCTGGGGGCCCCACCTTGGCTGGGGTTATTGGATGTGATTACATCCAGTCTGCCGCCCTGCCCAGGAGTACTCAGTGCCCAGGCACAGAGACAAGCTTGGGGTGAGAGGGACACAACTCCTGTCACCCACCTGGGATGCCTATAGAGGTGGTGCCGCACCTCTCCTTGGTCTCAAAAAAAAAAAAAAAAAAAAAAAAAAAAAAAGCAGTAAGTTCGTGTTGGACCTGACCCTTGGGCTCCAGGCTGCCCCGGCTTATCAAAGCCCTCCACCCCAGCCGTCCATGCCAGCGCCTGGCGATTGCTCTGCCCCACAGCTTCAGGCAGGCAGGCTGCACAGAGCCCCGGACTGCCCACATCGCCTGGATGCCCAGGCTCTGCTTCTGTCCCTATGGAGTGACAGAACGCAGTGAGCTGGCTCCAAAGCTCGGGGGAAGGAAGTGGCCAGGATCTCGGGGCCAAGGAGAAAGGTTTAAGGGCCGGAGGCCGCGGACCTGGAGAACTGCAAGGGATAAAAACTCCATTTGCAGGTCGGGTATGCTGTAGGGAAAGTGTCTCTTGGAACTGGGAGAGCAGAGGGCGAGGTGCCGGGAGGCTGTCCTGAGCTGGGTCCTCCGGGAGAACGGCACAGGTAGCCAGGGGTCTGGCTTTCTCTGATGGATAGGTAGGTGAGGGTGCAAATGAGATCAGGTCCCGACCTGGGATTCCCGAGATGGGAGCTGGGGGTGGGGACGGCTCAGGGACAGCTTCAGCGTCCGCGCGCTGGCTTCGAGGGGCGCGTCAGAGTTCTCCCACAGAGCGGCAGGATCCCGTGGTTTGGAGAGTCCGCAGGTCCCGGAGGTGCCCCAGGGTGCCCCAGTGGGAGTCGCCGGAGTCCCGCCGCTCAGCGCTACCTAGATTCCCCTCCCCGCCTCGCTATTTACCTGGGCTCCGAGGCCCGGGCGTGGGGCTCTGGCTCTGCGGGGCACGGGGTGGGCTCATGCCCGGGTCACGGCGTTGCCGGCGGGAGTGGCAGGGCGGCGGCGCGCAGCTCCGGGCCCGGACCCGGGGGACGCACAGCAGCGGGCTCCCAGCCTCTGAGACTCTGGAAGCTGCTGGTTCGGCCAGATCCCAAGACGCCACTCCCCTCGATGCCCCTCCCCGCGCCTCCCGGGCGCCACGCCACGCCCTACC